GAAAGATGGATCCTATTTACGTTTTCACATTGACTCATAATAATACACGATAAATAAAACGACTAAGACATCTCGTCGATTAGCAGATATTCAGCTTATCCTCCATCGTCGTGAGTAGGTTTACGATCTTATAAACGACGTATACGAAGAGGTGCGAAGGTATTCAATTTTCTCCTCTTAAATAATTTGATGGTACGGGCGTGTGAGAAACCCTAAACGATTTAGGGATACATGATTAAACGTTTATTATCTACACCGTGGGATATCAATTATTTATCCTGCATACTTAGTAGATTTTCCTATATTATAAGATGCATAATACATGAATCAATTGAAGACGGAATTAATCATTTCTATGGTGAGTAAACCATCAACTCTGAAGAGAAATCTTGTTTATCGCGTCTATCAACGATTAATTTGCGACCACTTCATTAGAAGCGAAAGAGCAAAAAACAATATAGTTATCGTATACGGAATCGAATGATCAAATGGCATTGATAAGAAAAACACTTGGCTTGATGAGTTACCATGGACCTGTTGCCATTACTATAGATGGGATCGTTGAGTTCTTTTCTGAGGTCCGCTGACACGAAAACGCCGCTGCAATTATCGACATTATGTCGTCACGCCTATCAATTAGGATACGGTCTGCAGGATACCCCTAATTATCCGTTCGGACAATCTGCTTAATTAATCTAATGCGGAATGCGGTGTTTACCGAGTAGCGTCGTCGTTGTGGTCGTCGACATTAAATTAGCGTCGCTTTCACGGAGAATTGCAAGCGGTAAACGATATTTCGGATTAAAAGAAAATCTAAATGGAAGATGGTACGTCTTAGAAACGCGATATTAAAGCGTGTATGTAGTCGGCCTAATGGGACACACCGTGACCATAAAACACCCGTTAGCCGATGGTCGAGGAAGATAATATGTGTGCGCCCACTGACTTACCGTCTGGGGTGCTTAATCTCAACCGACGATAAAATATCAATTGAAATCTCGCGCTGCTGGCGGAAAAAGCGGCGCAGACGCCACCACCGCGGCTCGTAATTCAACGGATTCTTTGTGGGCGTCGACGTTAATCTGGAAAATATTACCCTTTTACCGCAACGAGTCTGAAAGGAACCGCGGAAAGTGTGTAAAATTTATGGACAACTCGAAAATTGATTTTGTTCTTGCGACTGCGGTCTATTAAAATTTAACACCTTTCTAACCTTTGTGATATTAAAGAAATTTTTTTTAAATATTTGCCTCTAACATAATATATAATTTTTGAAAATCATATTATAAAATTCATAATTATAATGGGTGGCACAGTTTTAGGTTGCAATGAATCATCCTCACTTCCCTCATCAGAGAATACAACATCTATATGAAACCATCATTCTGCGAGATGATATGATAGCTGAAACTACTCTACTAGTTTTCTGGTCGATTTGTAGGTTACAAAAGATCCAGTTCGTAATATATGCTCACTTTCATATGAAATCCACCACCCACTAAAATTCAAACTACAATTTTGAAACTTCGGTAAAATAATGCTTTATTATCAACTAAGAAACAATGAAAGTTTTCGCCGAAAAAACTCAACTGTTATGTTTCCTGTACCATTGTTATCTCCAACTTTCAATAAGTTGGCAATAATTTCTGCCCACAAAATGTCAGTTTATTAAATTTGATTGTCAAACTGTCAAGTAGATACCTTGTAATGTCCCCATATCAATGACTTTCATAGGGGCCGAATTATCGGTATGAAAAAGGAGAGATTGGGAGAAGCCTGAATCGGGACCACACTACAGTTGCTCGGATATGGTCTTTATGGTGCCAAGAAGGTATTCAGAGGCGCCGTTCTGCTGGATGACTCGCCCGAAGAAGCAACGCACGTGAAGACCGACTCGTTGGGCAGATGGCTACTAGGCATCGATTTCAAACAAGGTCGGCTTCGTTCATACCGTCCTTACCTTCGGCTTCCATTAACACCTCCCCATAAAGTAGCCAGACTTGCATGGTGTCAAGAACGGCAAGGGTGGGTTCATCAATGGAATGACATCGTCTTCAGTAATGAATCAAGGTTTTGTTGCGGCGACATCGAGGAGAAAGATGGAATTTGGAGTTCGTTCAAAGACAACACACAGCCTTAACACCTGGGGTTATGGTTTGGGGGGCGATATGTGCTGGACGAAAGTCACTCCGTACGTTCATTCCAGACACATTAAACGCACGTCGTTACATCGACAAAGTTCTAGAACCGATGTTAGTACCTTTCATGCAGACGTTGCAGAATGCCACTTGTCAACAGGATAATGCAAGACCCCATACTGCTGTGGTTACAAGAAGGTTCCCGGAGCAGGTTGGATTGCAGATTTTGCCCTGGCCTGCCTTGTCGCCGATTGAAGATGTCTGGGATATGATAGGTTTGCGACTAAGGCAAGTACTCAGGCCTCCTGAAAATCTGGATGAACTTCCACACCATCTAGAAGTTGCATAGAACGAGATACCCCAGGAGGACATCGACCACTTAATAGAGAGCATGGGTAGAAGAGTTAATGCATGTATAGCTGCACGTGGGGATTAGTGATGTAACGTTTAGTTACTTTTTAGTATTTGTAACTATCAGTTACTTTCACAAAAAGTATTCGTTACTTTGTACTCGTTACAAGTAATCGTTTGCGCTTGAGGTTCCAGTATTAGTTTGCGCTCGAGGTTCGATTACTCGTTTGCGATAGAGTACTCGTTTTAGTTGGACTACATACTTATATGAATTTATTTTGAAATACTGTACCTTATTTTTGAAAACAAATACTGTACGTATATTATATTGTGTTTGTTACGCTATTATGCACTGTGCACTAATATCAAAAAATAGAGTGTAGGTTATGGGATTTACTTTTTCACCGCATATTGAATATAACGAAGAATTTTTCTTAATTATTAATAACTTACGTTTCACTTATTATATAACAAAAATATTTGAAAGTAGTAACACATTAACAATGGAAAACAAAACTTCTTCTATAAAACAAGCAATAATAAAATAAAATAAAAATATTAAAACAACAATAAAAGATATTACAGCTTATTATTGCAATGTAAAAATAAATTTTGTTGCGCATTTCGACTTTTAAGTCGATTTCGCCTATCCAACAATACTTGGCCTTTGGAAAAAGTAACTGTTAGATCCAAAGTAACTGGTACCGATGTGATACGGTAACAGTTACTTCGGATCTCGCGGAGTAACGAGTACTCGTGTAACGAATTGTTACTTTTTTTACATCACTAGTGGGAATGCAACCCACTACTAGTACTTTTGTTTGAAAAATGTTAATTTTTGTTTTGTTGTTTTTTCAACTAAACTTTCATCGTTTCTTAGTTGATCATATACCATTATTTTACCGAAGTTTCAAAATTGTAGTATAATTTTTAATGGGTGGTGTATTGCATGTGAAAGTGAGTGTAGATTTTTGATAATGCGAGAAAATGAAGTTGGTCATGCATAACGTTACGCCCTCTATAACAAGTCATTATTACAGGTGATTTGTAAAACTTGGGCTGCAGATACCATCGAGATGAATGTCGTTGTCTACGTTAAATCTTTATAGTTATTAATTATTTGATTAGATTTTTTGTAGCCAAGTTCAAACTAATTGTGTTGAATTCCTTCCGTTTTAAGAGACGTACAGCTAAACCAAAACGTTTCTAGGTCTAATGTTAGTTATAATGACAGTACAAGTGTATAACTAGAATCAACACTGTACCTAAAACTAGTATCATTCGGGTTTAGCAGTCTTTAGAGACGTGCGGCTAAAAAAAAAAAAGTTTTAGTTTTACACTAGCACTCTTACTATGTAGAACTAACACTATACCTAGAACTAGAATCATTTGGGTTTAGCCGTACGTCTTTAAAGATGGATAAACCCGAATGTTTCTAGTTCTAGGTCTAGTGTTAGTTCTAGTTTTAATTGTTATTCAGCGCTAGATTGTCAGCTCCATACGTCTCTTAAGATGGCTAAACACGAATATTTCGGGTTCTAGGTTAGTTCCACTTTTAGTTCCCTAAATGTATACAATAATCAAGCTCTGAATAACATCGTATAGACAACTCGGGGAATACCCAGAGTTTATCTATGAACATGAAATAGAACTTGAGGAATAACCCGAGTTGGATTCTATCTATGAGCGCTAACATTTATATATAAATATACTAATATATTAAATAGATAATATGACTTATAAATATTTTGTCCGTTATATCTAAAGTTCTAACGAGATCCGTTACATCGAGGTTTTATTATAATTGAAAATGTTTGAAGATAAATTTTACTTACTATCAACTAGTTTTTAGTATTCTGTAAATCCGTAGGTTCTTAGTAAGATTACCTCAAACTCCGTTTTCATCTTACCTAAACCTAATGCAATTTTATCCCTTTCGATTTTTCCTAATTGCTACCTTATCTCAATTTCTATCCAGGAATCCACCGTAAAATGGAAACAATGAATCCCCCGGTTGCATTCAGAACCGTAGTCTTTTCTAATGCGAGGAAATCGTATAAATCCGATTCGGTTCTTCGGAATTGATACGGCCTCCGTGGATTGTTTGTGTGCCGTAGGAGCCGATCTTATCTTAATTGGACTCACGGGATGTTCAATTTCCTTCCATTCTTTTCGGTTACTTTTCTCACCGCACTACATAAGTACATATCGTTTTTTTTTCTTCTCTTTATCACAAATTACAGTTGTACTTACTATTATTGTTGTATAAATTTATTCGGATCTCGTAAAACGAAACATCGCACTCTCCCATTTGAAATTCCTTTTCAGCTCTTTTCTTATATCGAAATCGACACAGCCACTTTACGGATATCGAAGATTGGTTTTAGTTTTTGTCACTCGGATTGCGGTCGACGACAAAGGTGCCTAAAATTTTACGATTATGGCGCAATCGCGGGCGCCAGTCTAGAGTCACTTTCGTAATTATCTAATTTCTTTTCCCATTTATTTCAGATATGGTACGATCGGTTGGGATTCTCGGAAACCACTGGAATTGGTGAGTAGGAAGCCGGGTTTCCTTTATGACGATACACAAACGTTAATGAAGTTTTAAAGTATCTTTAGTCGGATATAGTGTTATTATCGTGTTCTATCTTTTTAATTTCATTTGAAACTTTTAATAGGAGGTTTATGTTTCGGACGTAAACAGAATTATATTTCCGGCTGCATAATTTATTTATATATCAGCTAGTCGAGTTTATTATTCAAACGAACGCCCTGTTTAGTTTAATTACATATTATTATGATTTACCCCGTTAACCAACTTTAACCGCAGAATGGGAACCAATGGTATACGTTAATTTACGGGTGGTAATTAGTTTTTCAATTCGTGTAATCATCATTGTCAAAATTACGCTTGTTATTTTAGATTAGTTATTGAGCTGTAATTATAATTGCTGAAAATTATAGCTTTATTTGTTTAATTATGAAACTTTTACAACAAAGTTTTGAGTCTTTAGTTTTTTTTTTCGTTTACGCTGGAACATACACCCATCGTGTATTTGAACATGTACGAAGTTGTTGGAAACGCGTCCTATCTCAGTTTCCGCACAAACATCTCTCGTTATTTAAATCGCATCCGATCTCGACCATAAGGAGCTCATTTGAATACAGTGCACCGGCGTCACTGTGCAGGAACTAAGGCGGAGGCAACTCGGTTTATGGTGGCGGCAAGCTTCGAAAGCTTCGCGTTTTGGGAACGACGTCACCTGTACAATCAATTCTATTTACCTGTATGTTTATTTGAGCCGAGATTTCCGAATATGTTAACGTAGAACGAACAACTTTTCCATACAATCGGTTTGTTCAACATCATTTCGCGGGCTTATGTTGTTCCGGGAGACGAACATTTCTTGTTGGCGTGTTTGCTAATTAGGCGACGAAGCGGCGAGGCGCCCTAATTGGCTGTTATCCTTTTATTAAAGGTATTTACTTTTGAATGCCACGCACCCTCCGGTTCTACCAGCGCAAATAGATTATTTAGTTTCGGACTTTGAGGACGGAAGAGCACCAAACATGAGATATAATTAGTGTAATTGTGCCACGTCGGTGAGCTTTTAGACAAAGGCTGGTGGTCACTCTTTGATAGTGCACCAACAGCGAGCGGAGGCAACTGGTGCCGACCTCTAACCGCAATCGACGGCGGAACGACCCCGTACAGGGGGAGAAAGATTGGACAAGCTTTCCGTGTTGGACGTAAAACCTGGAGTGGTCTTTTATGTGCGGCTACCTTCAAAGCGCCGAGATAAAATACAGGATACAACGTTGCTTTTTTACTAAAAATCTCGTGAGGTGGAAATTATTCTTTACGATAAAAAATCCCATAAATATGATAATTATCTCTGAATTAACATTTAGTGTTTTTGTGATTGATTGAATACTACCAGTTTTACGAATTTCCCGAAATTCGGATTTTGGAACTTTTAATATGCACCCAGAATAACAAGTGTTTGAGTGTGTGAGACGCAGTCGTATTTAACCCATATGCGTATTTACAGAGTGCGTCATTGAGCCAACCAGCAGGTGAGGTTACACGAGAACGATCCGAACGTGCTAATTTTGAAATTCCAGTTCGCGGAAATATCGGGCGGGATTACCGTGCATTCCAATTTTGAGGCCAGTCACATATTTCGCCCCAATTTTCCGCATACTTTTCAATTGGCCTCCCAATAAAATAGTTACAGGGCCGGCTGATTGATTTGGGATTAATTTCGAACTCCCACCGGCTCGACGCAGTTTACTAAAACACGAGTTTATTATTCGGACTTGTACATATATGTGATATACTTATTACAGCCGTTTGTCATCCAATTAATCCTGTCGAAAAATACGGTAGCGGAGTAATTGGCTATTTTAAAATTTGATTCATCCGTATGCGGAAAACGGACGTGCATCAAAATAAAATTATAATCGAAGCTCGGACAGGGAGAATTATAACAAAGCAATTCGCGAATATGAATCGAACAAATACCTTTCGACCGTAGTACGAGTAGCGGAACACAAACATCGTAATGAATGCGGGTTTGTATCCGCGTTGACAATATTGCTGGATAAAGCCGGGTATAGGATTTTCTCCTATCATGTGATACAATATGTCCTCACTTGTGCCTCCGCACTTCCGTTTCAATTATGTGCAGGTATATGTACCTACTGTTGTCGTCAGTGTTATTAACGAACTTCGTGTTCTTTATACACCGCATTGTTATGCCTTTAAAATTAAAGTTTATATTTAATTTAAATAAATTGCCAACAAAGTGGTGGAGGAGCCGGGGATGAAAAATTACTAGATTTTTATAAAGAGCCTCAAAAAAAATGAACCCTTTTCAGTACAAAATTGAAGTTAAGCGAAGTTTGCCTATATAAGTCTATGTTAAAGAACTAGGATCAGTTCGAAAATTGTTGAGAGACTTCTTGGTTTCCTTCTTCGCAATCATTAAAAACCTTTCAAGAGGAGAAATGGAAGAGGAAACTTTTCCTTGCACAGAACTAAAGCGGATTGCCTACTATCAGTAATAATCGTAAAGATTTTACCTCTCAAGCTGCAGTTAATGATATATTCAGAAGCAAATTTTATGACGACTAATTTCGCCTATTTGCCAGTGATACCTTTCCCCTACGATACAAAGAGACAGCGACTTAGCTCATAAGAGAAGACTCCTACTCATGTACTAAATTGTCCTTTTGAACCATCGATGATTTAATAATGTTATTTCCATCTATAACTGTGACTTTATTTATAGGAATTAAGGGATGATTTATAAATCAAATTGAAGCTTAAAACCTACAATTTAAGAATATGAGAAATTATTAATATATTGGATATAGAATGTGTCGAGATAATCCATTATATTTAAAAATCTGACATAACCTGTTTTTGTTAAAATTGAAGAAATTTCAAAAAAGTCCCTCGAGATTATTTATAAGAATTAAGAGATGATTTATAGATCAAATTGAAGCTTAAAATCTATAATTTAAGAATATGATAAAATATTAATACGTTGGATATAAAATGTTTTGAGATATTCAATTATATTTAAAAATCTGACAACCTGTTTTTGTTAAAATTGAAGAAACTTCAAAAAAGTCCCCCGAGATTATTTATAGGAATTAAGGGATAATTTATAGATCAAATTGAAGCTTAAAATCTATAATTTAAGAATATGATATATTATTAATATATTGGATATAAAATGTTTTGAGATATTCCAGAATATTTAAAAATCTGACATAACCTGCTTTTGTTAAAATTGGCGAAACTTCAAAAAAGTCCCCTGAGATTATTTATAAGAATTAAGAGATGATTTATAGATCAAATTGAAGCTTAAAATCTATAATTTAAGGATATGGTAAAATATTAATACGTTGGGTATAAAATGTTTTGAGATATTCCATTATACTTAAAAACCTGACATAACCTGTTTGATAAAATTTGAAAAACTTTAAAAAAGTCCCCCGAGATTATTTATAGGAATTAAGGGATAATTTATAGATCAAATTGAAGCTTAAAACCTACAATTTAAGAATATGATAAAATATTAATACGTTGGATATAAAATATGATAAAATAATTAAATAAAAATCTGACTTAATCTATTTTAAAGTTCAAATAATTCTCCCATCTTTATTAATTCCTATAGGTTCGTTCCAACCGCACAAATTTGACTCGTTGTGTACGCGTACAGGACTTTTTTCTGCGCATGTTCGTCTGTGGACACGTTCGTGTACGCGTACATTTCGTCAACGCTATTGGAACGGTTTGAAATTTCTATGTACGTTTTATATCCAACCCTGCCGATAGTTAGCGCTGCAACCACAATTTACCATTTCAAACGAAATCCATTTACTCATTTTTTTAACAATAATGAACTAAAGTAGCATTAATTAGAAATGTAAAAGAACGTAATAACCCTTACTAGAAAAATGAAATAAAAATATTCATCTTTTTACACTTTTTTGATTAATTTGTCTATGAAACTTATCATAAAACAAACATATGAAATAAAAGTTCTTCAAAATTTGTTAAACAAAACACCAGAAACATGTAAAAGAGTAGAGAATAATCCAAATCCAAATGTAGGCTAAATGTAGGCTAAATATCCATATGATATGTGTGCATTTTTCAAAAAACCCTAATTATCTCCCAAACTATTAATATTAGGTATGGGCCATATGGGATATAAAAGATGTAGAATGAGACACCGAAGNCTTCAAAAAAATCCCCCGAGATTATTTATAGGAATTAAGGGATAACTTATAGATCAAATTGAAGCTTAAAATCTATAATTTAAGAATATGATAAAATATTAATACGTTGGATATAAAATGTTTTGAGATATTCTATTATACTTAAAAACCTGACATAACTTGTGTTTGATAAAATTGGAGAAACTTCAAAAAAGTCTCCCAAGATTATTTATAGGACTTAAGGGATAATTTATAGATCAAATTGAAGCTTAAAATCTATAATTTAAGAATATGATAAAATATTAATACGTTGGATATAAAATGTTTTAAAATATTCCATTATACTTAAAAACCTGACATAACCTGTGTTTGATAAAATTGGAGAAACTTCAAAAAAGTTCCCCGAGATTATTTATAGGAATTAAGGGATAACTTATAGATCAAATTGAAGCTTAAAATCTATAATTTAAGAATATGATAAAATANGATAACACTTAAGTCTGAATTCTCAAATTTTTATTTTCGCCAGAACCCCAGAAACGTCTAATGACCGGTCTCGCTGAGACACCCTGTATGTATATGGAAAACTACTGGCACTATTTTTGTGAAAATTTGCATACGGGTTTACACGAAGTGCTCGTTTCAGCTAAAATACTTTCAGATTTCTGCAACTTGCGGTTATACCGGAAATGGACCCCAACTTCGTTATTTTAACAATTTTTATTGAATTTTCGAGGTCCCCGCCAAATTTTAATACAATTTGATAAAGTCATCCTATGTCTAGAGTGCACCATTTTTCAATTATTTCAGTCA